AGTGTGTGGACAGGTGTCTTTTATACAGGTAACGAGTTCAAACAGGTGCAGTTAATACAGGCAATGAGTGGAGGATAGGAGGGCTTCTTAAAGGCAAACTAACAGGTCTGTGAGAGCCATAATTCTTGCTGGTTAGTAGGTGATCAAATACTTATTTCATGCAATAAAATGGAAATAAATTATTTAAAAAGCTAACAATGTGATTTTCTGGAATTTTCTTGTAGATTCTGTCTCTCACAGTACCTACGATGAAAATTACAGATCTGTCCATTCCCTGTAAGTGGGAAAACTTGAAAATCAGCAGTGTATCAAATATTTATTTGCCTGTGTGTGCGTGTGTGTGTGTGCATGCGTGCGTGTAAGATAATACCAGGGGATTCTTAGTGGTATTAATGGCACCTGTGTACTTGCCACTTATGCGCATCTCTTTCTCACCTGGCTTCTCTTGAGAGGAGAAACACTTGGTCATAAACTGGGAGATGTTTTCTTGACATCTGTAAGGCAGAAACAGCATAATTTTCTTACAAATCTGAAAACTCTCAGTTTAATTATTACACTGAAAATATCTAGTGGAAAGGAAAAACTGCAATAGACCTTGAGTCTGCAATAAAGTATTACAGACTCAAGGTCCAGATGTACAAATGCTAAAAAACAATAAAACCATAAAACAATAAGCAATAAATAACAATAAAAAGACAACAACAAGAACAACAATCAATAAACAACTACTCTTTTAAAAGGCAGGTATACCAGTGTTTCCAAAGCACTGAAATATATCACGTCACTATATGCAATATTAGTCAGCAATAAAACAGTTGTTTCCAGAGCTATTCAAACGACAAATAAATGTATACATCAAATTTCTTAAAACAGCAGATAGTGTACTGATCCATGTACTGATCCGAGATGACACAAACAATTCACTGGCACTCATCCATCTAGGCTTTTTCAATAATAACCTCAAGGCATCATTATAGGCCACTGTCAGTTTCCTAAGACTGCCTTTTTTATAATTAGACCAAAGATGTGTAGTGTACAGGGAGGTACAGTACGCTCTAAACAAAGTCAATTTTACTCCATCCGAGCACAAACCAACACATTTGCTTGTGCATACAACATGTGGCACTGCCGATACATATCCCCATCATCAGATAAGCAATCATTTATAACATGACCCAAGTACTTCACTTCATTACACACACTTAAAATGTTACCAGATAACTTAAAAAAAAGGGAATGCAAGGGACCTGTCCTCTTTTGTGCAGCATATCATAATAACACTTTTAGCAGAATTGTACTTGACATCGTGAAGCTCCCCAAACAGAGAACATACATTCAGGAGCTGCTGGCGACCTGCTGAGCTAGGACTAAAGATCACCAGATCATCTGCATACATTAAGTGATTCACTATTATACCTCCAACCATACATCCCGTTCTACACATATTTAGCTCCTTAGAGAAACCATTCATATAAAAATTAAACAAAATCGGGGACAACAGACTACCTTGCTTACCCCGTTACAGGTCTGAAAGGGTGCAGATATACAATTATCCCATCTGATACACATAGTCTGGTGAGCATACTAATATGACAAGCATCTCACTATATATTTAGGCACTCGAGCGACACACAATTTCTGGAATAACTTCCTATGATTCACACGATCAAAAGCTTTAGACGTGTCTTAAAAAAAAAAAAAACAAATACGGTATAATTTTTACTTTTATATTTACTACATCAGTAGAGCCAATGAGATTATGAAACCTACTCAGGAGAATTTCTTTAACAACTTTAGAAAATATATTAGCAAGTGCAATGGGTCTATAATTATCTGAGCAGCTTTATCCTTCACCACCCGGACTAAAAGCACTGACATCAAAGAGTCAGTCATAAACCATGCATAACAAAAGAAGTAAAGAATATAGCTAAAAGAGGTGCCAACCTCAAACTAGCATATTTAAGATGTTCTACAAAAATGCGGTCCATCCCAGTAGACTTATTTGCTGACAAATTGCGTATTGCTTGAGAAACCTCATATGTTTCACTAGGGACACAATTAAATAGATCACAGTAGTGGTGTCACCAAAGCTCAACTATCTTATCTGGGCCAGAGACTCCATCAATAGTATGGGGTAGAGAAAATCTACTGCTGTACATCTTTCCAGAACGATTTGGTATTATTCCTTAGGAGTTTTTCAGCCATAGAGTTAGACCTCAGCTTTTGTTCATTTTTCATAATAAATCTTATAGCATACTTATATTCTGCGCTTGGACGCTTTTTAAGCTCAAATAAAGGCCCGTATCTGGGTTTACCAGCAAGAGCCCAGGAAGTTGTTGCATCACGGGCTCTAGCCTTATCTTCAGCCACATAAGCGCTCCACCCAGGTTCAATTTTGTACTTCTCTTTTCTTTTATAATAAGGCATACTAGCTTCTATCAAGACCCGAATAATATTAGAATACATGCAAGAAATATCAGCCTTGTGGCTAACAGCAGTACAGTTAAAGTCCGTACTTAAAACAGCCTCTCTAGGTAGAGTAATATCACGTAATAGTTTATCAGTGTCAGAACAGTAGCAGGCAAGATCCTCTGCAGAAAGAATGGACCAAGTCAACCTTTCATGCTCTTGGTTAGTCTGAATTAAAATAGGTATAAAATCAAATCTAACGGCATTCTTTACAGGAATGTGGTCATATGTAGACATATTATATAGAACGGCAATATTCTCCAAAGCAGCGTGTGCATCAGCTGTCGAAATACAGTGGTCTAGCCACGATGTTGTATGCCAGGCCTCACTTATATATGTATGGCTCTGCCTGAGCAAAAGCTCACTACTAGACAGAATCACTTTATTATCAGCACAAAAATGCACCATATGCGTCGCGAAAACAGAGTTCTCGTAAGCCCCTCACTCTGTATAAAAGAGCTAATAAAAGCCAACTTATTCAAATACTCCTCCTCATTTTGGTTACATTCATACACCTTTAAAATCACCCGTTTCTTATTGTCCTGAATCAGGCGTATTGCGATGCACCAGTCCACATCAAGCCTGACCACATTAATCAATGAATCCAACCTCTTAGACCACAGGATAGCCACACCTCCAGGAATTCTTCCTCGCTTGATACCGAGCCCAAGATCTGTAGTTGATTCCCCGGCACCGAGGAAGCCATCATCAATGGAGACGAGACCACTTAAGTCCTGCTTAGCAAGGAATGCCTCTTGTAGACACAAAATATTACATTGTTCCAACAGCTCATTGACAACAGTGCGGCGAGCTTTATCCTCCGCGCTCTGGCCTAAGTGCAGGCCACGACAGTTGTATGATATTACATTAAGTACCATATTATTTATTGGCTTGAGCTTGCAACGGCACCGAGAGAAGTCCCGGCTCGAGTAGAAAGAGCAGTGTGAACATTACACGCAGTTTACGCGGCTCATAATAACGCCTCACAAAGTTCCCCTCCAGCCATAGTTCCAGATTATACATGTCATCTACTTTGTTATATTCAGCAATGATTTGTAAAAAAATAAAAAAATAAAAAAATTTTAAAAAAAAGTCTGCCAAAGCTTTTGCCTGCATGCATGCATGCGGCAATCAGTGAAAGAACTCTGTCAGAGATAACATTTGCAGTGAATGCAGGTGTGCTTCTCTCACTTGATTTTGGAGTCTCTGACATAGAGGGGGTCCTGCAGCTTGTCCTCCCAGGGCAGACGACCACAAAGCCACTGAACCATGCAGTACCACAGGGTTTCCAGGTCGCTCCGCCTAGATACAGCTGGAGTCAAACAACCACATCCATCAGCAGCTGCTTCTTGGTACTGACATTATTAGCAGTGCCAATATTTCAAGTACACTTAAATGAGTGTTATCCAGTTGTGAACACCAAACACCTGATAGGTTGTGTATTATTTTTTCTATTATATCTCATATAATATAATTCTAGCAAACAAAAAAGGAATAGTTCAATATTTTGGGAAGGAGGGTTATTTCTTTCCTTTCCTGTATGCGTTCAGTATGAAGCTGGTGTCAGGGGGTATGGTTAACCTAGCATAGCATAAAGACTAATTCCAAAACTGTAACTTTTTATAGCAAAAACACTGTCTTATCATTAAGTACTTGCATTGGTAGTTGATATCAGCGAGCACTCAAGTGCAAGTACTCGTACTCGGTCTGAAATAAAGTGATATCAGTGCATCCCTAGTTTTAAGACCGACTTGACAAATCCCAAACCAATGCACAGACATGAGATGCATTTCAATCTTATCTCATGCTCTAGAAGAAGTGATTGAACATTTTCTCCAAAGTGGTGAAAAGATCCTTTTAAAAGACCACTTATAGTGATTTTTCGTCCAATTAAGTAATCAGAACCCATTTTCAAGTACTTGAGAGATTACCTATGCGAGGATACCCACCTGCTATGAGCTACAAGAATCAGTTTCTATGTAGTGTTAATACCACTGATCCCAATGAGGCTTTCTCTTTACAATAAAGATCAGACAGCCTGGTTTTAATAATTTCTACCTGGGATGATAAAACAATAGTAGTATACTTGTACCTACATGCGCCCTTGTGGGCATCAATGCTTGTGAACTCGATGGTACCATTGTGACATCTCTTGGGGTCTTCCTTGTACTCTTTGAGGATACCGTCGGGTTGGTACCTATACGCCAGCCCATAATCTGCTAAGTAAACCTACAGTTCACAAACAGTGACTCAGGCATATATACAGACATGCACCAAACATATATACATGTATTTTTACAAATAAATGTAAAATGTTTTCAGAAACTTATACTTAACTTAAAATACATATTTCACCTTTTTCAAGACTGCAAGCAAGAGGAGCAGAATCATCCTGCCTTTTAGACTTTAAACTAATTCCACCAATATTGTGTCAATCATTATTATTTAGCCTGCTTTGTCCTTGCTGTTCTAAAGTTGGTTACTGGCTTTACAAAAAAAATACATTAAAAAGCTAAAGCTACATCCTAGTAACTACAGAGCAAAGCATCAAAAATATTGCAGAAAAAAAACCCCCCCAAAAAATCAAAATCCTGAGGAGCCAATTTTTAAATTGTCATTTATAAATAGCTCTTTAACAAGACCACCAATGATAAATTATTAATCTTCAAATGAAATATTTGCCCCTACCCCCACTTTATTTGCTAGCTCTTTGCTGTTGCCATCTAATCCACACAGCCACCCTCCTCTCCAGGCCTAATTGAATCTAATGAAGTGGCTCAAGTGTGTTATGATCAAAAAAACACAATAATCTCACCATTTTCAGGGAACAGTACAGGGGTCAGTGTAGTACTTATTTTCCTGATATAATGAAATGCAGTGCTTAATATTTTAGGGATGTGGAAGCACATGTCCTTTTAATTTTCTCAAAATATAAATGTCATTTTAATCACCTGGTTAGGATCACTGTGGCTCATCATGAGGTTGGATGCTTTAATGTCAGCATGCACATACTCATGGTCATGGATGTACTCTAGAATATCCAACTAAACAGGAGGAAAAAAAAAAACACTTTAGATCTAATGTTAGTAATGAGAGTCCAAACATGGCAAGTGTACAATGCAATACAGTCCTTAAGTTAATACAACATGATCAGTGAAATTAAACTGACTAGACCACATCTGGATGCATCTTACTCACAATGTAATAGGATCTCAGCCAAGTGTGAATGACATCTGTACAGTCTGAACATATACTTGAGAAAATAAAAAGTCCACCTAGAATTTTGAAAGGCCATCTCCCTGCTAACTCACGCTGCCCAAAAAACCTACAGAAGAACTCTTCCTGTGCAAATATGGCAAATATTGTGCACAAACCTGGGCTCTCTCATTCACATTAAAGGGTTATGTCTGGATGGAACCATGAGGAACATTAACATAAAAGTGACACATGTCTGAATGACAGAAAGCTATTGCTTTAAGAGACCGATGGACTGATTGTTACATGTGCCATATCCCAAAAGAGCTTCATTAGCGCCAGGTGTAAATGCAAAGACCCTAATTAGAGGTCAATGTCTAGGTACAAACTGCATGTTGAAGGATGACTACAGTTTTAATGAACCTGCGTTATTTCCTCTAAAACTGGTATGGCGACTCTATAGCTAGTGCTAACTTTACTATTCCTACCTCTGTTGTGGAACTTCAGGGAACCAAAAACCTGTGTTAAATGACATCACCGGGCCTCAGAGTGTTCAGAATAAATGTGATCTCAGTCAAATGATTTCTCACGCTTGTCTCGGAGTCAAAAGGAAAGAAAACAAGATACAGCTGTCTGAGGTAGTCATTACAGCTAACTACATAGGACGGTCACCTGACCACCTGATTATCAGGTCAGAAAAACTACACAGGTGTTGACAATTTTCTGTAAATTTGTCACTAATGAAAATTGCATTTCATTAACCTGTAGTTTAACATGCAACTGCAGTTCACTAGAAGATGTACAAACAAAATACAGCCATAAAAATCACTAACCAGTCGAAGACCAAGCTGCAGGACCAGTTTTCTGGGGAACCTCTTTCCACATTCTTCAAACTTCTTCTGCAGGTCTGTGCCAAGCCTATCAATAACCATGAACCTATAACTGGAAGGTACAGAGAGGCCATCTTTAGTCCTTCTGTTACACAAGTGTCAGACAAGCTCTATTACTAAACTGTTGGTGCAACTGCAGTAAAATCAACAGACATACGACACCTCAGAAGACCTTGTCATTGTACAGATCAGGGCTATAATTTGTTTCGCAAAAGTAGGCATTTTTCTGGTTTCGGAGAAAACTTAATCTGTCAATTCCCAAAACATTTGGAAATGTCTGCTGGTCTTAAAAAGGGCTAAATAAATGTTAACTTTATAAAGAGCTCCTTGTTAAATGTCAACAAAAACCCTAGAGTTTTCATAGATAACTACCACATGCTTGCACTTTCCATTAGTTCCAGTCATTTCCCAAAACATGCAGCCATATTTTAGCTTCTGCAATATTTTTGCAAAATTTCCTAACCTTTGAAAAATGAGATGGTCAGGTGATACACCCACCTTTGTGCTTTGCCTTACAAAACACAAGTTCACATTAATATCGCACAGTAATCATGCTGGCTCAGTAAACAGGCGAGATGGCCCACCCAACTCTGCAGAGTTGTATTTATATTCTTGTTGAGTTTCATAACATCACCGCTTCTGCTATGTTGCAGATGAATGGCAACGCTCTGCCATCAGACCTTCACTTCAGTCTGTGAATGTGCTAACAGGAAGGTCACTCCCCAGAATTTCAGACTATTAAAACAACTGTAACAAAAAGCAGTGCAGGCATGTTTCATTAAGTCTGAGAGATGATTTTAATAGTAAAATGAAGTGAAACCAATAAGGGAGAAAATTCTTTAAAATTATGGAACCACTTGCATTAATTGTGAATAGGCTGTTGGTAACCGCTTATTAAATAGTCAAATTTTGTTATTCACAAAGAGTTCAAATAGGGCATTTTAACTTTTTTTTTTCATGAAATGCAACTCACCCTAAATGTAACTCAGAAATTCAACTCAGCTGTTTTTCTCTACACTTAAAATTATGTGCTTTTGTTATAGCGTTTTTAAAAAAAGCATAAGAATGGGTATCAAGTGTGGCCACTGTGAACAGTTCTGGTCAATATCTTACCTTTTCCCTCCTTTCTCATGTAGACCTGAGCCCCAGTGCCTGGGAATTCCAAGACTTTTCATCTTGTGGGACTTCATCCAGCTCTGGACTGTCAGACCAGAAAAATGTTTGAGGTTCTTATTCTGGATAAAATGCCCTAAAAATCTGTGTAGGAATCTATGACATACATCATATAAATCAAAGGCAGTTTGGTTATTGAAACTTCCTGTAAACACACTGCTAACTATTGCTGGTTAAGTGGGTGATGACTGTGATACTCAAACTAATAAGAGTACAATTCCATGGGGCGAACCAGGTAGCACAGCCGCAAGCTAATCTGCTGCTGGGACAAATATTTACCAACAACGTGCAATTCCAGCATGAATAAAATATGAGCCTTTGGCTGCTTTGTAATATAAGAGTTAATTGTCAGGGGAGATTGACATTTGGATTGTTGTTATATAAAATGCAAAGCTGTGGCCTGGGGGCCAACGGCACTGCAACCAAAAGCTTCCCTCCCTCTGCAGGGCCCCTCTGTGCCTCTGCTACAAAACCGTCTTTCTTAATTAAGAAAGTTAGCTTTCTTTTAGTTGTTTGCCCTGGTGGTGAGAGACTATGCTGTGTTATAATCATAAGGCTATCTCTGGCTTAGTGACACTTCTAGGTGTGTATGTGTGATTATAAGAAATTACAATGTGGCTTACTCTGATCAGGCTTAGCAGCTCGCATGTAAAATGCGAGCTCACAGAACAGTGGTCCATTGTCACTGGGCTCCTGTGGACAAAGTAACAAGTACATTTATGTCTAGGTTAGACTTAGGAGGTGTTCCGACAAAAAAAAACAAAAAAAAAGCACTGTACAAACACAGGACTGTGTGGGTGTGTTGTTACAGGTGAATAAATGGAATACCATTAAAAAAAGTCTTATACTTGTATAGCACTTTTCTATGCATTACACACTTACATACAGTACATTGCTCACTTTAAGCACTTTCACACCATTTTCTCATCCGCACTCACACATTCACACACCGGTGATATCACTGGAACCAACTTGGGGTTCAGTGTTTTGCTCATGGACACTTCAACATGTGAACTAGAGCAGCCGGGAACTGAACCGCCAACCTTCAGGTTAAAAGAGACAATCTGCTCTACCTCGTGAGCCACAGGCGACTTACTCAGTAATTTATAATAATAATAATAATACTGAGATAGGTTTTTACAACTCTGGAAGATTACAAAAAATGATTGTGCAAATGGAAGCCTCTGTAGTCTGCGCTCGCGTTTTTCCTGTTTTTGTCTTATTTTGCTAGATTTCTGCAATTTTGGATTACTTTCACCAAAGAACAGCTCTTAGACATACAACAACTCACTCCAAACACTTTTTCTCCAATTTTTATGGATGGAAAAAGCTGTGTAGTTGGAGGAGCAGCAGCTATCTATGGGATCTGGAGGAGACGCAGGACAGGAAAGCAGGAGGATGCTCTGGTTAAGTTACACCAGCGGGTTAACCGTATGCCACACCAGGGAAGCTGAAGCCAGGAGAATAAACCGAATGTTCTCCACAGAGCCATCCAAGGTGTACTCTCAGTGGCAGGGTAAGAACATGAGAGTGGACCCACCAAGGCTGGAGACTGAACAATTCTGGAAGAGCATATGGGAGAAGGAGGCATCACATAACAATGCCCAATGGCTGGTGGACCTGCAATTGCCAAGCAGCTTGGTGAAAATAGATCAACTGTTGGAGCAATTGTTAGAAAATGGAAAAGGCTAAAGACGACTGCCAGTCTCCCTCGGACTGGGGCGCCATGCAAGATCTCACCTCGTGGAGTATCGATGATTCTGAGAAAGGTGAGGAATCAGCCCAGAACTACAAGGGAGGAGCTGGTCAATGACCTGAAGAGAGCTGGGACCGCAGTCTCAACGGTTACCATTAGTAGCACACTACACCGTCATGGCTTAAAATCCTGCAGGGCACGCAAAGTCCCTCTGCTCAAGCCAGCACATGTCCAGGCCCGTCTGAAGTTTGCCAAAGACCATGTGGATGATCCAGAGGAGGCATGGGAGAAGGTCATGTGGTCAGATGAGACCAAAATAGAACTTTTTGGT